CACACACACACACACACACACACACACACACACACACACACACACACCCTGTGTCCTGTACTGTGCCATTCAAACACTTAATTTTGTCACTTGTGGATAGAAAGAGGAAAAAAATCATCGGAGTGTTTTCACTCAGGCCTCTGTCTGTAATCTATAGGCAGCCTCCTTTCAGGTTGGAAGCCGACAGCTTCATTAGGTGGGGGGGTGGGGGGGTGGGGTCTGCTTTGATCTATAAATACACCCCATCATCATCTCCAGAGGGGGAAAAGTTAGTTTTCCCGTGTCTCCATCAGGAGGAAGCTTTAGAGTTTTTTGTTTCTTTCAAAGAGAGAAGTCAGCGCTCTGAGCTTTAACGCTCGTTCCTTCCGTGTTTTTTGTCTTCGGCAAATGTTTCTTTTAGGTTGGGGGGGGGGGGGGAGGAGGAGAGACAGATGAAGGTTATTAGGGTTCTACCGGAGCCTCTCGGAGCCAGCAGCTGGAGACAGTTCAGTCTACCTGAGGAGAGACAGAGACGAAGGAAGAAACTAAAGGTCTGTGCGTCTTCTGGCTCCGACAGTAACAGATATTTACAGCACCCCCCCCCCCCCCCCCCCCCCCCCCACCCCCCCTTCAGAGCATAGGCAAAGGCTCCCTGTGGTCCATAGACCCCGAGTACCGGCACAACCTGATCCAGGCCCTGAAGAAGACGCCGTACCATCCCTACTCGCCCAGCCTGGCCGCTCCACCCACCTCCCCACCCAGCCTGCCACAGACGTTCCACCACAGGTAAGAAGGTCTGATTCAAGCTAAACCACCATCATCAGACCGACTGGTTCACTGCGTTCCTGTGCGTTTGATCAAAACCAGCACTAACTAGAGGATTTACAAAGAAACCATGAAGGTGCTGAGATCCCAACACGTACAGCGCCTCGTCCGTCTCTAAAGCCCAGCAGTTACTGGACTTGTGGAGCCTCAGTTTGTTTTGCAGACATTCAGGAAAGTTTAGACTGTTCACATGAGTTGAATATTCTGAATAAAATCTCAATAAAGTTATAAAATGTAACTGCAGTTGTGTTTAAAATATAAAAAAGACAGTTCAGTCACAAAAAAATGAACTTTTTATTTATTTATTTTTAAAAAAAAACTAAGTTATTGTTGAGAATTGATTGACACCTCATTTTATATGGGAGTTTTATTTGGGAGCGGTGGTGCAGAGGTTAGAGAGGGTGCGCCTGTGATTGGAAGGTCGCCGGTTCAACTCCCCGTACAGACAACATAAAAAATGTGGGTGGAAAAGGTGATTTGTTCAACTCTAAGCCCATGAGCAAGGCCCTTAAACCCCCCAGCTGCTCCCCGGGCGCCTCTGCTTCACATGTGTGCCCACATGTGCAATGGGAAAAATGCAGAGAATGACTTTTCCCAGTGGGGGTTAATAGAGTACAGTAAATAAAAATAAATGAAAAAAGATGGCGGATCTTCAAACTGAAACACTTTTTGTATTTTCCTTCCACTTCTTTGAGCGATTTATGAGAAATGCCCCGGTTTCTTTCTTACAGTTTAAAGACGAGGAGGTGGTAGTTGTAGGTAGTAGTAGTAAGAGTAGCTGTAGTGTCAAAGGAAACAATCAGCCGAAGAGTTCGGTGCAAACATCCAGATAAGAGCCGAAGCTTCGTCCTCTCCCCCATCTGTCGCTCCCGCTGCAGGCGTTCAGGCTGACCTGCGCTGTCCGCTCCTCAAATCTCCTTCTGCACGCTGTTTTCATGCAGCAGCGCTCCTTTCTGTCTCCCCCTCAGGCACATCGCAGGTAAAAACCCCCCCCCCCCCCCCCCCCCCTTTACACGTTGGCTCCGTCTCCTCCGGCCTCCTCTGCTCTGTACTTCCCTCTTTCTTCCTCTTGTCTCCTAATGCAACACACACACCTCCACCTTCTCTGTTCATCCTGTGCCCCCCCCCCCAATCTTCTTTATTTATCCCAGCTGTAATTTATCCCTCCCCTTTCGCTCCTCCTCACTTTTTCCTCCTCTCTGTCACTTTATCATTCAATTAAATCCTCCTTTGTCTGCATTCATTCCCACTCACACACACTGCTCTCCACAGCAGCATCCACCTGTGCTGTTTCCCTCCTCTTCCTCCTCCTCTTCCTCCTCTCTGTATGACCTCTCCCCCTCCCTCCATCATCCTCTCTGCTAACTGCTCAGTATCCTGCGCTTCCATCCATCCCTGCGATGTGTCAGAGAGGCACTGTTAGGGTCTCATTCTCGTCTTCGGCTTTTTTCTTCCACTTTTGCTCTGTGTCCAAACACACATACACACACACACACACACACACACACACACATACACACATACACACCACCGGGAGCAGCAGCATCAGCAGCCCCCCCTCCACCTCCCACCACCCCCCAGCTGATCCGGGCAGGTTGGCTCGCACAGCCAGCCGACTGTGTAAGACAGAATAATTGGTTCACCATAAAATGTAAAAGTGTCATTTTGAACAATGAGGTATGGGGGAGTGGAACAAATTGGAGGCTGGATTCGGAACATGGGGGGTGAGGAGGTGTGTGTGTGGGGGGGTTCATTTGCATTGTGACACACACACACAGACACACAGTGGAAAACGTGAGCGAGTGTGCTTTTTTTGGTCCGAGTGAAACTGGAGGTCCCTGGTGATGCAGCACCTGCACTCCGTGTGTGTGTGTGTGTACTGTAGTCCCTTCAGCTGAGCGTACGGTTATTCAATCTGTAAAATGTCCTTCACAGGCTCCTGTAACTTGAGGAGACAGTGCCTCGTTGTTTTTTGGCTGGAAATTAGTTTCAGACTCCAACAAACGGACGCTGCAGCGACAGAAGTCAACGCTGAAGCAGCAAATACAAACTGATCCTTGTTGTTCTTCTTTCGGCTGCTCCCTTCTGCAGGGGATGCCCTTCCTGATGTCACCTGGGCTCAAACCTGCAGCCTCAGGATCACGAGCTTAACCACTGAGCTACCTCAGCCCCGCAAACAGAAACCCTGAATATTTTAGTTGTTTTTCTTAAAGCTGCAAATTTATGTTTAATCATTTGTTTTTTGCTTATAAATGTAGATAATAATAATAATAATATTTTTTATTTGTATAGCGCTTTTCTAAATACTCAAACGCTTTATATGAGTTAAAATAATATATAAAATTAACAATGTATAGCACATAAAAACACAGTAAAACATTTAAAAAGGGCAAATTTAAACATTAAAAGCTGCAAATGAGTGGGCAGCATTTTTATTTAAAAAAAAAATAGCCGAAATGGAAGAACAAGCTTATTAATTTAGCAGAATAATGTAAAAAGAACACATGCTGAATTTGGTTTAAATAAAAATAAATTAGCACAAAAATTGGGAAATCTGCTAAAAAATAAAGCTCAAATTAGTTAAAACCATTTAAAAAGTAGCTGAAAACGCAGAAAGAAGCTTAACCTACGAGAAGGAGGTGGAAAGAGCTGAAATTAGCTAAAAAATGTAGAATTAGCTGAAAAAGCTAAAATTTGCATAAAACAGCTTAATAGTAGCTGAAATAGCAGAAAAGGATTAAACTAGCTGAAAAAAGCTGAAAGGAGCATGACCAGCTGAAATTATTATAAAGAAGTTAATTATGCTGGACGTAGCAGAAATTACCAAATAAAATTAGAATGAATCTGCAAAAAGCTGAAATTAGCTTAGCTAAAAAAAAAAAAAGAAATACAAAACTCATTGAAAAGGAAGAATGACCTTAAATTAGCCGAAGAAAGCGAAAAAAACATACATTTGCCCAATTAGGATGAAAGAAGCAAAAATGAGCACAAAAAGTAAGAATTATCTGAAAAAAGATGAAATTAACAAAAACAGCTGAAAAGTAGCTAAAAAATCAGAAAGAAGCTAAAGTTACAAGAAGGAGGTGGAGAGAGCACATTTTTGCTGAATTTGGCTGAAAAAAGTTGAAACGAGTGCAACACATGTGGAGTTAGCTGAAAAAGCACAAATTTGCATAAAAACAGCTAAATAGTAGCTGAAATAACAGAAAGAGCTGACACTTGAAGAAATAAGCTGAAAGGAGCATAAAAGCTGAAATTAGCAAAAAGAAGTTAGAAGAAACATAACAATGTTTTAGTTAGTGGAAAGAATCTGAAAGGAGCTCAAATCAGCTGAAAGAAAAGCTGAAAGTAGCTGAATAAGTTTAAATTTGCAGGATGCTGAAAGAAGCTGAAGCAGAACAAAATGTGAAAGGAGCAGTGAAAGGTTGTAAACAGATCTAAAGATCTGAAAGATGTAAAATGAGCTCAATTCATTTTCTCTGAGGAAAAAAGTAGCAGAAAATGATAAATATTTGAAAACGCTAAAGTTGCACCGAAACCAAAAGTCATAGCAGGATTTTCCTGAAAGAGCCGAACGTTTTGATTTATGATTTGTTGAAATAGCTTAAAAACTGCAGGACGAGAATCGCGCCGAAAATGTACGGAAGAAAAATGGATCATATAATAGTGTGAATGCTTCATAAACATTCACACAGTAAGTGTTTATAAACGACACCGGCTTAGCTTGAGCATAATTTAGATGTGAACGCAGGACTCATGGTAATGTTTGAAGGGTCTGTGCACACGCTGGCACGGCTTGGTTGCAAAGATTTCAAAGCAGAACTTTTCACGCCGCCTCATCGTGAGACGGTTGGAACGTTGTGTTTCAATTAACCGTTTTATGTTTACTACATAAACACTGCATCAAAAATCATGAGTGTCTGGTTCAGAATCTTATAAAACCTTATAAAGTTTGTGTCAATCAAAAAGTTTCCTCCTGCAGCAGCAGAGAGCATTGAGTGCTGCATGTATGGCAAGCAGTTACACCATATATTATGTCTTGAACCGTCTTTGGCAGGCCATTTGTGTATTATTTTGATGTGCCTGATATCTAGATATCATTTTCCCACACTAACGCCGAGCAGCTCGATGTGAAGCTTCACATTTTATTTATTTGTGTTTTCCCTCTGAACGCTGTTCTTCAGCCCTGCATCGCTTTTTATTTTGCAATCATAGATGAACACGGTGGTATCATTGTGGGAACGGGCTGCTGACATCAACAGAACCGTGCAGGGCACAGGAGAGCAAGTTGAAAATGCTGAAAATAACACATAGCGCCATGATTGTTTTCATCTGAAGGAGGTTTTCTCATTTTCCTGTGGTCCAGCCACGTTTGAGTGAGAGCGCAGCGGGGCGATGATCCCACGAAGGAGGCTGAAGACAACCAGAGGACCACATGCTGACTCAAAATCCAAAACAAAGACTTAATATAGAGTCTGAACAAGGGTCAAAGGTAAACCAGAGCTTCTTGCCGATTACCTTCTACTCACATTTTTAAATTAAAGTTTGAAAATCCTGTCAGATTTCATTGAAAACAAACTATGTAAGTTCTAATGTCTGCCTAAAGTTATAAGACAGAAATCTTACTCACTTATTCTCCTTAACTACAAGTTTAGGACTGTCCATACAGCAATGCTTTATTGCCTTTTTAGTTCCACTTTTTTATTGTTCATTGTTGTTGCTCTCAACACCAAAGTGCATTTTGTCCCCCGCCAAGGGGCGAAAAGGTGGAATTGGAATTACTCTCCGTCCATCCGTCCATGAATGTTGTGAGAACGATGACTAGAAAGATAACGTGCAAGGGGCCAATTTCCTTTTTTGAGTGTGGCTGCATCAAGACGTAACAAAGTTTTGTATGAAAAACTGGGCTGCCACTTCAAAGTCCCACCATCACCTAGGCCTGTCACGATAAACAATCATAA